TTTCTTCCTGGTAGAGGCCCTCTATCTAAATTCTTCTAGGCAGTTAAGGGGGAGGTAAGAAGCTCTTCCCCAGTTTGCTAGGCACCGATTGTCCTCAGCTTAAAATAGTTTACATGCCAAAGTGGTCCCACTGTGGGACAGTGTGTTCTGCTGCCCCTCAAGCTGCACTGTGAAGCAGCAATGTGCCAGTCTAGGAACGTCCCAGCTCTCAGAAGGAAGCTTTCAAAGGAGGACTATGGGCAGGGCAGACTTTCCAAAACTGCCAAGAAAGGGCAGTGTAGTTGTCAAGCACACTGCTGGACCAGATAATTATGAATGGGAAAGAGGGGTATATTTATGAGGAATAGACCTAAGGGCTAAAGGTGGACCTGAAAATATTGCCCAAGCTGCTCATGTCTTCTGAGAAAAGCGATGAAAGAGAAGGGCTTGATTGAAAGCAAAAATGAGGCTGTAATGGGAATTTTTGTGATTGTGCCTCCCTATTATCCATTGCCCCTTCTCTGGTAATAGCACTGTACCGGAATAGTGTGTGTGGAGAGCTAAAGTGGTGTGGGATTATCAGTGAAGCTGCTCTGCCCTATAAACGCTCTCTCTCTCTCTCTCTCTTCTTTTTCTCTCTTGCCTCCTTTGAAGAAAGACAAAAGGATAGGAAAACAAAAATATTTGTAACTTATTCTTTCCCAGTGGTAGCACCCTAGAAAAACTATAGACTCCTCCTACCCAGATTCTGGAAGTGCCCTAGTCCTGCCCTTGCCAGGCCGGATTTTCAGCTGCTTCTTTGATCATGGGCAATACATCCCCTATGCGTTTACATTAGCCAGTGCCAGTGCTTGTTGCTTGCAACCAGGAAGCTACAGACATAGACCTTTCTAAACCTTCTATGTGGGGACCCAGCAAAATCAGTCATTGTTGGAAGGCAGTTGCTTAGACATCTGTGTGTCACACTCCTAGGAAAAGAGGGACAGGCACAGAATTAAGTCTAGATAAAAATAATTTAATATCTGAAAATATACCAATTCATTTATTTCTGTTACTAAATAAACTGAGTGTAATGGCACAAATGACACACAAAAAATTATACAGCTTTTATGAGAGAAAAAGCCCCAATAACCTCATAGCCTGATGGTATGGAGTTAATAATAACTACAAAATGTTAATATGTAGGTGTAGGGGATGCTTAATTTCCCCCAACTCAACAATTTATCTGGATTTGCCTGATGACATCTGACCTACTTTTCAGCATTCCAGGCAGTAATTACCCAAAGCCCTCCCCAAAGTCTCAGTCCATAAAATCCTCCTTTTAATAAGATTTAACAAGCCTTTAGTGTGCTCCCAAAGCACTTCAAAGTCACACTGGCACCAGGGGAGTGTTTTTAAAACATGCAACGCATGAAATGCATTCTGTGGTGTTTCAGGCTTAAGACAAAACAACAGGGACACAAACATCAGGTACTGTGATCTGGAGGAAATCATATTCTGGGGAGAATTGTTGGGATGTTGGGAGAATAGTGGTAGAGAGCTGTCGGCTCCTAAGGTTCCTGAAACAAGCAAGCAAAAGAATACTAGGTGGATCCAGTCTGGACCAGGCAATGGGCAAGACTGATGAAGTGCATTGTGGTCTCAAGTTAATTAGACCAGGGTTAATTTTTTGATTGGGTCAGTCAGGCATGGGTTTGGTAGGGCAAAGGGTTAGTTACTTCCAAATCCCTTTTCTGTCCATCCAGAGCTTCCATTTCCACCACTACTTACGTGCATTGTAGATAAGGATGACATAGTTACTTTAACATGCTCCATTTGCAAAGTTAAAGTATCTATCTGCTCATACGATCACAGAAGAGTTTGGAGAAAATATCGTTTTCAGAGATTCTATGTCTGCCAAAAATTTCTTAAAATAAAGTATGACATGATAGGAGACAATACAGTAATTGTTTTGTTGTTCTAGAACAGCACTGTCCAACATGGTAGCTGCTGTCTACATGTGGCTATTTAAATTAAAATTAATTAGAATTAAGTAAAATGAAAAAATTAAAATCTTTAGTCACAATAGCCAAATTTCAAGAGCTCAGTAGGCACATGTGGCTAGTGACTACTATATTGGACAAGATTGAATTATAGAACATTCCCATCATTGCAGAGAGTTCCATTGAACAACGTTCTACAATATCTATCTGTACTAGTTGTCAATAAAAATGCCAGAGAGATACATTTTCCTAAAGATTACTTATGTAAATATGAGACACCTATAAAAATACAATATACTTAGACGTTGACCTAAAAACAGAAGGGCCTTTCAAAGTGAGAGACAAACGTTTATTTGAGATCAATAAAAATAGCTATTTGGGAATCATTAATTCAGGCAGAAACCCAAATTATGTTCTGGTTAGGAGACAAAGGTAATGGGTATTTATGAGAAAGGCAAGGGGAACAATTGCATCAATAGAAGGAAGACATTTCCACTGGTGCAAATAATATAACAGTGATGTTAATTCTAAACAATGTTGTTTTTTTAAAATCCTCACCCAAGGATATTTTTTCCATTACTTTTCAGAGAAAGTAGAAGGGAGGGAGAGAGAGAAACATCAATGTGAGAGATACCCAGTATTTGGTTGCCTCCCGCAGGCATCCAGTGGGGCAGGGGATTGAACCTGCAACCAAGGTACCTGCCCTTCGCCAGAATCTAACCCAGGACCCTTCAGTCCGAGGGCAGACACTCTGACTGCTGAGCCAGACTGGCCAGGGATAGACAGTGTTTTTAATTTTCAGTCCAGTAGTCATAATAACTACTTTCTTGTTATGTTTGCAAACAGTTCTTTGGGATACAATGTTGTCCTAGGCCCAGTCCAAAGATTATTTTACCTGTTTATTACTATTATTATTTGATAGACAATTGGATTAAGAAGATGTGGTATTTTGCCCTGTTTTTAACATCCCAAGGTTTGAGGTGGAAGATGTACAAGGTAGTTCCTCTGGCATGGTAGCTCCATTTTAAAGTAGCTCTGTTTATATTATTGTTTACATAGTGATCTCCACAAGATTGGAACTTCTCTTATTGGTAGTCATAATGATTACTTTCTGTTATCTTTATGCTCACATTAGCTAGGGTCTATTTTCATTTACAAATTCAAGAATAAAGTGGATTGAAAAATGAGAGTAGTTCTAAATACGTTCTCCAATGGGTTAAATGATAGATTTTGGCTTTGTTTCATGCTTGAGATGGCCCTCCAGTGAATAAACTTGCTCCTTACAGTAAAAAAAAAAAAAAATAGTAGTGAATTTAGTCAATTAAATTATCATAGTGAGAATGTAGGCTTTGGTGGGATCATGTGGAAAATTATTTCAATAGGCAATTTTTACTTTGGCTGTGAGGATAATTTAGTCTCAGAAAATAAGTCCAGGGGTTTCTTCTTTGTGAGGCAAATATGACTGCCTTAGTTACCACACATTTTGCTAGTCAAGTGACTTTTTTTAAATAAAATATCACGTTGGCCTAGGATACACAAGTAGGGCTGCTTGTGTTCTCTAAAGACGTTCTAAGAGATCTGCTACATGACCTATCACATGTAATGCACTGACCAACTGGCCTATATTCTCAATATGTTCCTAGACTTAAAATGACTATAAAACTACAGCCCCTTAAAAACGAGTTCTATTAATTTTTCATTACAAAAGAACATGTTCATTAAATACACTGGAAAATACAAGAAAGTTGAAAAATTGTTCATTTGCTCCAATTTTCTTTCTCTTTTAGTTATGCATATTTTTAAAGAAGTTATATAATAAAGCTTAAGCCATTATAGACTGTTAACTCTTTTGGCTAGACCTGTTGTGCCGTGAGTCTGAAGAGGCGGACTCTGAAAGATTTGTTGCGGGGAGGAATTTTGTAAACACATCTCTTAAAGCATCCCTCACCTGCAGCAACCTCGCAACACGGAGAGCTGAAAGGCATTTTAAGACCATCCTCTGGCACGTGAGCAGAAAAAGGGGTGTAGCTAATTTACACTGCCAATTAAGTTCCCACGGGTAAGGCCGCAGCCAAAGCAGAAAAGAAATGATCTGGGCAGCCGGGTGATGTATTTGTTTAATAACAAACGTCCTGCGCATGAACCCAGTATTCCCATTTGCTTCGGCGTGGGGGCTGCCTCTGCCCCCCACAGCTCCCCCGAGTCCTCGGGTGGGGTCTACCCTTCTGTCGGGTCGGGGCGTGGCGGGAGGAGCGCGAGGGCTCTGCCCCGCCTC